GCGCGTGCGCGTGCGTGTGCGTGTGGTGGTTTGGGGGGGCAGGAGCCTCCCTTGCACCTGTGTCGCCGCCGGCCCGGCCCGCCGCTCCCTGCCCCCGCGCACCTGGTCCATGTTGCCGTGCACATAGGCCGCCTCCAGCCCGTCCTGGGCCAGCAGCCCCGCCAGGAACTCCACGTGGTGCCGGGTGGCTGCGAGGGGGTGGGGTGCATGTGGTGGATGGTGGGGTGGTGGGGTGGTGGGTGGTGGGGTGGCGGGTGGATGAGGATGGGCGGGGGCAAGGGCGAGGGGAGGTGCGGCGCTCAGCAGGGCCAGGCGGGCCGAGCCGAGCGGCAGCGCGCGGGCCGGGGCAGCGTGGAGGGGTGCCGGGAGCGCGCGGCGGAGGCAGCGTGAAGGTGGCGCGGCGAGCGTGTGTGCGTGAGTGGGCGGGGAGGTGGGCGGGCACCGCGCCGCTCACAGGCAAAGATGATGGTGGGCTGGTCCGCGGCCACCACCTCCCTCAGCAGGTACAGCAGCGCCGCGGGCTTGTCCTCCTGCCTGCACAGGGGAGGACGGAGCGCAGGCGGGCGGGGGCAGGCAGGGACAGCTGAAGCTGTGGGCCGCACACAAACCCCTGCCGGCCGCCGCGCCGTGGCATGAGCCAAGCGGCATCTGCCGACCGCAGGATGCCCAACAAGCATCCTGCGGGTCGGGCGCCCCAGCCCGACCCGCGGCATCCCGCTGCGCCTCGCTCCCCGCCCTTCCTTTCTCCCCGCGCCGAGAGGCGGGCCCACCCACCTGACTGTGAAGAAGGCGAGGGCGAGGTCTGGCGAGATCTTGGTGTCGGCATCCAGGCGCACCAGCTCCGGCTCCTTGAGCCCCGCCCGCGCAAACTCGGCCAGTGCCTTGGGCATGGTGGCGGAGAAGAGCAGCGTCTGGCGGCTGGGGCCCACCGAGGCCAGGATCTGGAGGGAGGGCGGGCCGGCGGGCAGGCTGATTTGGTGTCGTGGCGTGTGTGTGAATGTGCCCGCCGCTGCTCCCAAGGCGCCGGTGGCTGGTACGGCAGCCTGCTCGGCATCCTGCTGCAGCTGCCGTCGCTCTCCTCGCGCAGCTGCACCCACGTGCGCGCGCACACACACACCCAGCCCTGCTGCCTGGCCAAGCTGCTCCGCGCGCCGCTCCAGCTCACCCCGGCTGGCACACCGCCCCGGCTCCCGCACTGCCCACTACCCTACCCTCCCGCTCCGCTGCCCGCCCCACCTGGCGCAGCTGCTCCGCAAACCCCATCTCAAACAGGCGGTCGGCCTCATCAAACACAAGGTACTCGCAGGATCGAAGGCTCATGCCCTCCACCTCCTGCAGGTGGTGCATCAGCCGGCCTGCGGGCGGGCAGGGCGGGCGGGGCACGCGGGCGGGGATGAGAGGGAGGGAGTGGAGCGGGCGCGGCGTGAGACCTCACGCGGGCGCAGCGACCAAGGCCGGGCAGGGGCAGGCCGGGCAGGGCGGCCGGGCTCCGCAGGCTGGAAAGGCGATGCCGCAGTAGGCTGCCTGAAGCATTCTGCACCCATCCACCCCCAGCCAAGCCAAGCCCACCCACCCAGCCCAGCCCAGCCAAGCCCAGCCCAGGCCCACCTGGGGTGGCCACCAGTATGTCTGGGAAGGCCGCCAGCTCAGCAAACTGAGCCTCCATGCTGTCGCCTCCCACCAGCACTGCAGGCGGCAGCGGCGGGGGGCCGCGGCGGCGCGCGGGCGCAGCTGGTGGGGGCGAGCATCCCTGCCACGCTGCTCCCCGCAGAGCGGCGCCTTGCATGCGCCTCCACACCAAACATACAGCACTGTGAAAGGTCATGCCCAGGGTGTTTCAGGGCCCCACACTCTGCAGCCCACAGCAGCCCCCAACCCCATCCCACCACAACCTACAGCCAACAGGCTACAGTCAACAGGCTGCAGCCACCCACCCCACCACAGGCTCAGCCCCGGCCCCCACCCCTGCCCAGCTCCCTGCCCGGCCCGCCGCCTCACCCGCCGTGCGCAGGTTGCTGTGCCTGCCCAGCTCCTTCACAACCTTGTGCGTCTGCAGCGCCAGCTCCCGGGTGGGCGACAGGATGACGGCCCGCGCCCCCGCCCGCGCGCTGTGCTCCTTGAGACGCTCCACCAGCGGGATGACAAACGCCGCCGTCTTGCCGGAGCCGGTGCGGGCCATGCCCACCACATCCAGGCCCTGCATGCGCAGCGAAAGGGGGTTGCATCAAAATAATTGAAAATGAGGCAGTGCCGCATTTTCAATTATTTTGAAAATGAGAGCCACAAGGCGCGATGGCGGGCGCA